GTATTAGAGGGAAATAAATGGTAGGTGTGGCCACAGGGTGGTCCCCTCCAAGGCCACCCCTGGCCCCCCATCTAGCTCCGCCCCTGGTGGTCACACAAAAGGCCCCTTTTGCTGTTGAATCTAGATGGCTTGGTATGCTTTCACTGACAACAGACATGAGGTGTCCACACTATGTTTTCTGTTTGACAGAGAGTCATATACTCTGTCATCTCCATCCATCCACACTGTGCGGTTGCTCCTTGACCACAGCGCACCTGAGTCAACAACCCCACAGGCTCACGGTGGGATCCCCAAGAAAATCTGCAGGCTTCTTCCCTTTGCCATCATGTTAGCATTGTTTCCCAGGAAGAAGACCTCCAAGACTTTTTCTGCAAATCCAGCAAATCACTCATTGTGTGGGAAAGTGATGAGAAAGCATGGGGGAAGTGGTGGATATGAACTGATTCATATTTTCTCCTCTGTGTTTTAGTCTTGGAGCTCGGACAGGTCAATTAACTGAGAATGTCCCCTTCTTCTGTTATGAGGCACCTAAATCTGAATTTCACCTTCAGAAGAAACATATTGCTCGATTTAATTAGGAGTTTCTGACACCCTCAGATATTCCTTTAGTTGCTCTAAAGTGACTGCAGCAACAAACCCTGCATGTTTTCCGTCAGTCTCTGTACAAATCTGACTGCAATCAACAACAATAAATCAGATTATTCAGTCGTGCTTGACTACTTTCCTCTTAAAACACTGATTTAATACATTAGATATAAGCTGGAAATGTCATTAGAGTATCCCTGGTGGGAGCTGTTTGTGTGTTTGTACCTGTCTAGACCTCAGAGTGAGGACCATTTTTCCAATTTCACCATCAAATTGAGGACCGAAGTGAGGACATTTTGAAAGTCCTCTCATGCTATTTTGCTAATGGTTATGGCATAGCCAGCAGATTTGGATAACAGACCTAATTAAATATTATGAATGCTGAACTAGTCAAGGCTGCTGCTGGGATAGCCCACACAAGATTATTCAAGTGAAAAGCTGTACCACTACCATGTAGAACTTTAGTATTCTCTTTATCTACTTCACTAGTATGTGAATCCTATTTTTTCGACAATTAAGTACTAACAATGTGCATATGTAGCTGTCAATGCTTTGCTTTTAGCTTGGTGTTTTTGAAGAAAAATGTTGAATATTTGCTAATAACATGATCCTGTGTTATGAAACGTCCAATTCATCTTCTACAATCTACTCTATAAAATCATTCAAACACCATAGATTGTTGTTAAGTTGCGTATTAAGAACTGAAGAACTGCTACATCATAGTTTTGGTCTCGTAAAATCAACATGGCACTGATGACATAAAAAATTATATAAGAAAACTGACTACAAATCAGTTTGTTTTTTTGCCTCCTATTGTTGTGCATCTTTTTAATTTAAATCCTTCTTTGAGTACGTTCCTTTGATTAACAAATGAAATAAATTATAAAAGGTGCCTTTTTAAAGCATTTTTTTCATAGAGCAAACCTCGACCCAAAGCAAGATTAAAAAATGGACGATAAAGTAGTTCAAGTTACAACTCAAATTAAGTATCTATCACTTTCATATTTATAAAAAAATTTTTTTTGAAGTATAGAGAAAATGTAAATTTCTTTTCAAGGCTTAGGTATGCCGTGTATGACAGAAAACATTTCTAGTATGTAGCCCCAGTGGCCTAATGGATAAGGCACTGGCCTCCTAAGCCAGGGATTGTGGGTTCGAGTCCCATCTGGGGTGGAGCTGTTTTATATAGGGGAGTGGCAGCCTAGTGGTTAGGGAATTCCACATTTTCAGCACTACTCTGGCTCCCTGAGCAAGACCCTTAAAGGAATAGTACATCCAAAACATGATTAGCCTTCATTTTCTACTCACCCACATGCTGAACAACACTCTGGAGTACTTTTTTGATATCTCAAATGCATCTGGAGATCTGGGAGGCTTCTTGCTGTCTGCTGACATTCA